ATGATGTCTTTCGAGTTGGGCTTCCTTTGTATAGTTAGTCACAGGCTGTAACCGGAAGTAAACAACCCTTTCCGTAACTCACTAACTAGACCATTCGAAACTGCAAGACGGTATATTCTTAAGGGCTCTTTGTGTTCGCTTTCAAAATGGCAGGTAAGATCATGGCTTAATTTATCACAATTTCAGTATAGGTAAGAATAAACAGTGATACAAATATTCATGTTTAGGGATTTAGTTATTGTACTAGCTAGACGTCCACTAGCTATTGGAATGATCGTGAATTATTCGAAGATGCTACTAGTTTCTCCATCGACATCTAAACATTTTCAAGATGTTATGAATGTTTAGAAATGATCAATTTCGATATTTCAAGCATTTCATTGCAATAATTTTACGAAGGTTTACACCTATATTTCATTTATATCTTAAAACAAATAAGTCACTTAAACGGAAAATGCATCAGTTTCGTTTAGACACTACATCTGAGTTTGCCAGTATAACGGTTGACTTTTTAAAATCAATTCACCAACAGTATAGAGTCAAAAAAGATCAAATACCCCGGAGGCATGTTGACATATAGTTCAGCTCGTTAAAAATTCTATAAAATCGGCTATTTTTCTAAGCAGCCCCGGTTTAATACCGGTCGTCACGTTTAAAAGCTTTCTAAAATGCTTACGTGACCTCGGTAAAAATACTTGCGTTACCATTATAGCACTGAGTAACTTTCAAAATGTTTAATTTTAGAATTCCTAAAATCTGAGAAAATCCTCAAAGTTGTTTCATGCATAATTTATGGCATTTCTACACAAGTGCAATCTCGAAACCGTCATGGATGTGGTGTACGTCAGTGCTTGATGTCAGGACCACTAGTCGCATTCTTGTGGTATTCGTTTGCTTTTGAGATGTACTGTATAAAAACGTACTGGAGAAATAGTTCATTGAAACCACAGATTCCTCTAGAAACACTTCTAATTATGATACCACTTACGCTTTCTGGTGCAATAACCTATACTCTAATGGTGTGGTACTTCTATAGCAACGATTTCCAGCATTCTCACACGAGACTAGTGCCGCACTTTGATTTTATGCCTGAAGGACATCAGGAAGATATTGGGCCAACAAGAAATGACTGGAAGTATGTCAACAACATTCTCCTTATTGGTTTTACTAGTGTTGGTTCTGTTTTTTACTGTTGCTTTGGACTCAATGTGTTTTTTGACTTCAGTGGTATTCATAACTTTGCAGTACACATTCATGATTGGAAGAAAACTCTATATTATATCGACATTGGAATTATTTACTGGGGATACATCAGCGCTGTTGTCGCCTGCTGTATTTTTTTCATCTGTTGCAGAGATATTGTACGACACATAGAATTTACAGAGACTCTCATAATAACAAAAGCAAAAAAGTACCTAACTGCTAGACATTACCATGAATGTCTGCTGAGATATACAGATGATGTAATGAATACAACTAAACTGTGGTTCGTGGTCCATAGTTTGTTTTTTGCATTCATTGTGCTAACAGATGCAGTTGCATGGATTATGGCTTTTTCAGAGATAAATCGCAACCACAAAAATATGGTCCACATAATAATGGGACAAACTGCAGGTTCTTTTCTCATTGCCTTCAAGTTTGCATTCCCCTTCCTGGCTGCCAGTCGTGTGACAGCTCAGTATGACAAGATGTATCGCAGGATAAACAGACATTGGCGGCCAGATGTATTGTCTGAGGTTGATGCATTCATGAATTACGCTATTCGATGTGAGGCAGGTTTTACCTTGTTTGGAATAAAGTTAACAGCTGAATTGGCTCTGATTTCACTGCTGTCGTGTTTCCTTGGGTTTTGCAGAATATTCAAAAACATTGCTTGAGCACTTTGTCTGGGACCTTTAAGGATTCAACTGGGCAAAAATTTGAGATGTACTTGGTTAACATTGAAGTTAACTTTTGATAGACCCTGTAGACTAAATTCTGTTCCATTGTTCACAGTCGCACTGTGCTTGGGTTGCGAAGAGTCCCAAGCGGCACCAGCACCTTGCCGAGAAGGGGCGGATCCATCAGCTGAGTGTGATGCTTGGACGTTTCAGAGACTGAGGCCACTGAACTCAACTGGCTGGTGCCTATTCAATCAGAGGCCCAAAGAAGAGAGGAAGTTAAAGAAAGAAAGAAAAAACATACTGAGAAGCGTGCAGTGACAGAGCAAGCGATAAGCTGCCAAGGTCGTTCCGAGAAGACAAGTGAAGGTTAATGTTCAATGCTGCACGCCCATTTATACTTCAAGTCAACTTCCTTCAAATAATACAATCAAAAAAGGGATTACCTTACAGCAAAATGGTTTCGCTAAAGTTTCATTGAAATAACATGATATGGATTACTCATCAAGATGAAACTATTAATCATGCCAGTAACAAAGACTTCTTAGGCCCCGTCCACACGTATCCGCAAATTTTTGTATCCGCAATTTTTTTAAAGGATACGGGTTGCGTCCACACGTTTCCGAAAATCTTTGTGGCCGTATCCGCAAATTTTACGAAAACGGATACGTGTGGACGGTGAAAACGATTCGAATACGCTGCGTGTGGACGCAAACATTCTCGTATCCGCAAAAAATAATTTGCGGATACAAAAATTTCCGGATACGTGTGGACGGGGCCTTAGAGGTCTTACAGCAGATTCTATAATCGTATTCTAGTTCTCTCAGCCTTCCCTGAGCTATCCCACTTTTATGGAGTACGAACGAATGTGAAGTTTTGAGACCAAGGAACTAGTACTGTTGCAGGCCTTGTTGGAATTTTAAAAAATAGTTATTAAAGATATTGTAATATCGATCAGTGGCGGATCAAGGATTTTTCAAAGGGGGGTTCC